TAATTTTGACAATCCCCCACATACCACTTGGCAAAATCCCCAATCTGCTCTGAGCGACTTGAGGATAGCGTCCGTCAGAGTCACAATGGTATTGGCTGCAGCTGTGACCCCAAGTAACATCCTGCTAGACATCGGTATTACCACAGAACATTTGTAAAAAGTGCTGGAGGCTTGTGTAAAACTACGCCCTATACACACTATAGAAAGAGGGTTTTGTCTAACAACAACACCAACAAGAGGTATAGTATGATGTTTTGCAGAAATTGCCTTGTGAATGACTTTTAGGATTCAACAGAATTCAGAATAACGTACAGAGACGTTTTGCAAGATGACGGGTGTCGAGGTGGTTGCTTTGTTTCTGTAGACGCGAAAGAATGCCAAAATATGCCTCAACAATCATCCTGGTGTCCAGACAGTCCTTGGCTTCGCAATTTCATGTCTCTGGCCTGAATATGGGGTTCCCACAGAATTGGCCCCCTTTAGGGATACTTGCTTTCTCGAGTTGTTGCATGTTGGCTTGAAGCTTTCACGCCTTTATCTAAAGGCAAAATCTATGCGCCCATGGTTTTTCAACTGTGTCCGCACTGGTAGAAGTGACGGATCAAGAAATCGCGTGTTTGGTGTAGTGAAGAAGAAACAAAACTGCGCCCAGATCTAGACTCAGCAGACAGCAGTTCACACCAGAGTTTATGGACAGAATTGCTAAACACAGCTATACTTCGAGGTCAAGCCGTTTGCTTTCAAACCATGTGGTAGTTTCCCTAAATTNNGGAAATTTATATAGGGCCCCATATTATAATAGGAACCCAAATATACTACCCCGTATTGACAGTAATTTAGGACAATCCTCATGTAGGTCTCAAACCTTTAGGTGGATGAATGTGGCAGCAGGGTAGCTTGAGTGCCAAGCAGCGCAAACGCACGGCCACCGCGCGTGACCGGATAGACGTCCCCAAATCCAACAGTTGTCAGCGTCTGCAGAGAGAAGTAGAAGGCTTCCTTGTTGGAAGGACAAGAGGATTAGAATAGGGCGTTGCAGGATTGAAGTAGATCATGACACAACCATGTAGCGAGCAAAGCCCCCATCTGGACTGCACTCAGAAAGCGGTGATGAGACTCCCAAGTAGAGTTGCTCGAAACTCCAAAAGAAGCAAAGGCACCAGAATTGCAAGCTGCCTCTTTCAGGGCGGACAAAAAATGCCTCGTGCTCTTTTGCTTCTGGAAACCTTTATCCTAAACCGTGGGTTTAGGCCATGAGTCCCATAGCGTCTTTTGCTCGCCCGGATAAGACGCGTAGAAGGCCTGCAACATGAGCACGGGCTTCCAACAATGGATGATCAAATGGAAGAGAAGCTGAAAAACCGAATGGAAAGTAGGGTCATAGACTGGTTTATATTGCTTCCCATTTCGGACGTCGTGAAAAGTAGGTCTTCGAACCAGAAGGGTTGTAAAGGGCTTGTGACGATATACCCTATTTCTATAACTCATTATAGTAGTTTTCATGTTCTTTTCCATTCTTCCAGGATCACCCCAATACAATCCCTATAGAACCCTCCTTGAGGTGAGCGACTAAGCTCCCAGACTGATTTGTAAGTCTACACAAGCATCTCACTGACCTCTTAACCTCGCCCCCTAAGAGCTATGCAGACTCCTAAGCCCTAAAGCCTAAACCGCAAAACCTACGTGGAAAGACTAGTTGCCCCAAGTGATAGGTTGCTTTGTCCAAGAATGGTAGGGAATTCGTGAAAGTAGATCAGATACCGGTCGTCCGGGTGAATCGGTAAACCCTAAAACTCCAAACCCCAACAATGCTATAACCCCTCTAAAGCACCCCCAGCCCCCAAAGCACTAGAAACCCCTCTGCCCCCCTCCGGGCCGTTCCACCCGCCAGAGCCGCCACCAGTGGCCACACAGTCCTAGCTGCTGCGGCATAGCGTTTGCGGCCTGGAGTCAGGTAGATGTGTAGCGATGCGTCTATGGATTTCACTGCCGGGCTTATGGGAGATACGTACTTGTATATACGCATGCATGCATGTGGGTATGGGGAGCCCAGGGTTAGCTTACTGGTTCTTAGTGGGGAATAAAGGAATACAATCCCTATGTACTCTCCCTACGCTATATATACCTTTCTTCCCCACCAAGAACCAGAACGTGAAACATGTTTCCTCTTGTCTTTGTACCCTCCAGGATCCTGGGTATGGGATAAACAAGAACTGCTTAGAGAACCTTCCGTCAAGGGCTTCCAAGGATACTGAAGGGCTTAGGTGCGAGTCCCTTTCGAAGGGCTCAAAGGGATATGTGGTTAGGACTTAGGACTTCTAAGTGCTGGGAGAAATGAGGGGGCGATTCGCTGAGTAAGCTAAGAAGCATGACTTGATGAACACGTGGTAGTTGATCAACAATTGCTGCTCCCCAAAGCTACTACGTTTAAGGATATTCTCCCCTAAATTTCCCTTTGCAGAATCCCCAACTAGTTCCACCAAAGGACTTTTACATCAACCGCCACATCCTCGTTTGCCGATGGATTAAGGCACAAATGCCATGGCTGCGCTCAAGGTTTCAGTTATCAAAGCCCCCCAAGTTCAACATACTAAATTACGCTTTATGCACTACACGGAAATCCAAAAACCACAAGGCTTAACCCCTAAACCATGAGGCCTTCAGCTTTCCTAGCCCTCCCATAGCCCTGAGCTCCTGAGCTTTTTCCCTGCCTGAGGCGTGTCCACGGGCTGCCTCCGAGGAACCCTATACTTGAATCCCCTTTGGGGATTAAAGTTGAGAGCTTATTAGGATGTAGGGTCTTAGGTTCAGGACTTGGGGTTGAAGCATGATGATTTAGGGCTTCTACGACTGACTTCCGTTCTAGCATTGCGTCTTTGGGAAATAGGTTTCTTCTTGGGGGCTGGTGCTTCACCAGGAAAGATGACACAAGGGACTGCAGGAATGGTGACGCAGTTTATGGTGCGAGCTCCTTCAGGGCTTGATGGCGATGCAGCTACATGGGGGTGTCACAAACTTATAGGCCCCTATGGGCTATAGGTTATATATTGTGGCACCTAATATTGAGGCTAGCAAAATGGGACCCTAATTTTGGGAACTGCCCGCGTTGCCTTGTTTGTCAACATTTGGGATCTCCTCTGGCTGTCCGCATGTAGTGAAGCCCTCGCTTGAAACCCAGGATATTATCATTAGTAGTATTCTTATCAATAGTGATGTTACTCGTATTACTACTATGATAAACCTCAAAGCCCTCAATTCCGGCTGTATCATCCCTGGATCCTACTCTTCCAGGACTATTGGCTCATGAAAGGAAGTGATTTGCTGGGGGCAATTGAGCAAAGTATCTTTATTGAAGCTGTTGGCTTCTCGGCTATCAATGAAAATCCTCGCGCTCCTTTTCCGGTCTCTTTGACAAAAAACAGTACACCAATACGTAGTGCGGCAGTGACAACGGGGTCGAGAACCGCTAGGAGTCTCTCGAAAAAGAAGCCTACTACTAGCTCATTCTTCAAAGTCGAATAATGGCACATTACAATTCTCCAGGTCTTTTTGGGGAATTTCCTTCGGGACCATCTGGATAAACTCTAAGCCCGATGAACCCTAAAATCAAAAACCCCACGCCCTAATTCCTCAAAGTCCTAAACCTTTCATCCCGGAGTCCTATAAACAGCAACTTCCCTACATCCCTCAACCCTAGTATGGGGTATTGTGCTCCTTTGAGGCCCTCTGCCCTTGCAAGACGACACACCCCTGAACCCTAAACCCTAAACCCTAAACCCTAACCTAAACCCTAAACCCTAAACCCTAACGGAAGCTGCGTTGCCGCTGCCGCTGCGGCGGAATGTGCCAGGCTGGGAGTCAGCTGCCGCTGGTTACCAAGGCAGAAGTTGAAGACCAGAGAGAACACCACCTGAGTGGGTCTAGGGTTTAGGGTTTAAGGTGTTGAACCTAGTAAGATAATATTCCTTATACAAAATACTATACCCCAAAAGGAGGATATAATCTTACTCTATATTTGGTACCATAATATCCCCAAATGAAATACTACTCACCTGGGCTTTTCATGGGATCGAATCACATGGAAAAGAAGAGGGTAAATTAAATGGAAACTGGAGAATACCCACTGGAAATCGAGATGATACAGGGGTTTATAGGCGGTTTAGAGTTGAGAGTCAAGTTGCTGCTTGCTACTGCAGATGACGGACAAACAGCAAGTCAATGGAGATTGCACGGACGCCTTCCTCCAAAGGGAATACAACCTGCGTCTTGATGGTCACGTGGTTCTAATAAAAGATACTATTGAAAACCTATGACTTGGCATTCCTTATGGGGACGTTTAGTTTCATAATAACATGCATTCCACAATGATACAGCTTAGGGTAGTTGGTTCGGTAAAAATACATAGGGATGTCTAGGCTTACTGTTCTTGCGTTCAGGAGTTTGGGCTTTCGGATTTCGGGGCAGCCTCCAACGTGTGAGTTTCTCAACACGAGCCCTACGCAAGCCACACTAGGGCACCACCACAATCCCTAAACCCTAAACCCTAGACCCCACACCCTAAACCCTCTCGCGAACCTAAACCCCTTAAACCCTAAACCCCTTAAACCCTAAATCCTAATTAATTCCTAAACCCACAATCCCTAAACCCTAAACCCACAATCCCTAAACCCTAAACACTATTGCAATGGGGCAAGGGCTCTGCTCCATTGAGTTGGGAATCCCCCTTCCAGTCACAGTCTATCACGGCAACCTGAAAGGTACGGGCTTTGTAGCGTTTGTTGAGATTAAGCAATATTTTGAAAGCTCTCACAGCGTCTAAGTGTGGTGGGAAGCAGAGCCCTAATCAGTTTCTTTGGACTAGCTAGGCTAGAAGCCATGAGCTTCTACACCTGAGCTTCGAAGTGGGGCAATTCAGACGCCTGAAGCAATTGGATGGGTAGAAGGAATGGCCAGCAACCGTACACCCTTGAGGGTATGGGCGTACCATTGAGAGGCATTCAGGGCAATTGGAAAGCTATCTCTTCTGAATCTGTACTCCTAGCAGACTATTTCACGGAGTTATGCAGAATTGGAGACTATGATAGATCGGGCCATTATGGCACGTTCTAAAAATTATCCTTGCTGAAGCCCTTGCAATGGTCCCCAGCATGTCGTGCATTCCCCATATATCCTCTAGGATACCTACTAAGGACCCTGCATCTTGTGGAGCTCCCATATGGCAAACCCTATGCTCCGAACGCGATTCTGCCAGCAAGGCTACGGCAACGATGCTGCAGCCGATCACCGAGTAGGCAGCCAAGAAAACCTCTTTCGGAGTCTTCTGGGTCCCTTTAAAAGGAATGTAGGGATATCAATACTAGAGCATCGGATTCAAAAGGAACTAGAGGCCGGGATTTTGTGGGGTTGGTAGGCTTTTTTAATGCAGCGTCCTGTTCAATTAGAATACGGCTTTCGATTAGTTTTATTTCATAGCCCAAAAAAGTGTATAACAGGAGAGTAATACTACCCATTCAAGCTTCTAAGTTCCCTCTTTGCAAATTGGTGAACAGGTACAATCAGAGATGGTAATTGGGTTAGCTATAAATGCATCCGTTGTTTCGCGCACGCGCCGTCAGCTCTCAACTCACCATGAACCTTCAGCGGATCTCCTACCCTAAACCCTAAACCCTAAACCGGGTGGCTGTCTGTGCGTACCTTCCGTGCGTATGATCCTGTCCCATTAGGCGCTGGATCACCAGGTATAGGTAGGTCTGTAGGGCTCTGGGCTTGGGAAGTCTGGCGCATGGTTCAGAATTCATTTGGCCATCTCAAAAAACAGGGGAACGCCCATGTAGAACTCAAAATGCCACAATCCTCATTCTGGGGGCCCCCAGAAAAAGGCGCTCTTTCTTGGAAACCCCCATTCGGGACATCGCTTCAGCACTTCTGACTCTCAGAGCCCTTACGCCCAGCTTTTCTTAGTTACAAGTTTCCCAAAACAGGGGAACCGTCAACGACCCTCGGGCTGCACTAGGAGCTTTGGGGGCATGACTGGGACACGTCTTAAGAATATGCGCAGATTGCTTTGGAGTTTCATAACATGCGCCGTGTAGCATCCTTCAATTCCCTAGCGTACCAGTGACACCCCATTGAAATCACCTGCCGCATCAAATAAGCCCCCCATCCTCCTCGTAGTGTATATGCACCCGAAGATACAGTGATACTCTGTTGGGGTGGGGGTTGATTACTAGGGGGTGAGGGTTGCTAGAAAGAGGGCAAGGGATTATGAGAAACTCCCAATTCGTAAGTCTGGGCCTGGCATGCGCGAGTGGCCGGAGCTATGTCGCCGTAGCCCACTGTGGTGATGATCCTTAAGCCGGCGGAGGAGTCTCTAAGCTAAGCCTGCTGGTATGGAGCTTAGGGCCAGCTAGGGGCTTACATCATTGCCCCAGGCCCATGTTGTGGAAAACGCAACCCGAACACAAAGGCTACATGGATAGCATGGATGTGCTGAACCCGAAATTGGGCAATGCCGGTTATGCCTAATAATCCCGTCGTTCCTAGAAGCGTTGGACGTCCTTTCCCTTTCTTTGCCTCTGCCAACTCAGGTCAATTGTGATACTAACTCATGTTTACGTATTTCGACTTGTCAGAAGGAGCCCCCTGTAGCGTTTACGACCAGGCGGACGTCGAAGACCCACTGCAACATAAGAAAATGGATTACTTCTTTGGGGGTCCCCATAATAAGGATAGTGTATTAGGGTCTATATTGGGGCCCCATTATTCTGGCAAACTCCCACTTGTAAGAGTGTTTCCTCGGATCTCCATGTAGAGCTACTTTCTCCCTCTCACCGATTCTTCGCGCTTCTCCAATAGCCGGAAAATTTTGGAAGCAATGCTCAACACTTGGCTTATTGGTTCTTGAGAGCGTGTGGGGGAGTGGATCCGATATA